CTGGTTCTGCCAGAGGTTTCTTCCCAACGGGGAGTTTTTCCTCTCCACTGTCGCTCCATGCTTGCTCATCATGGACAGGTTCTCTCAACCTGTGTTATCCAACTGGACTTCCATCTTCCAGGTCTCTGAGTGAAGCTCTAGTATCAGCTCATGCAGTCCACTGGATCTCCCCATAAAGCTCAGCAGACCGTCTCTCCAACCAGCAGTCTACAGACTGACCAACTCCATCTATCTCCACTCCACCAACAGTTTCAGGCCTGGTGGCGAAACAGCCCTGTTCTTTGGTCCTGTTCATGCGTATCTATCAAAATTAAGCATATTTTCATTTTTTTCTCAATATTACAGAAAACCCCCATTTTGCAGAAATGTAATTCTTTTCCCATTTCCTTGGATTCCTTGTTTATATTGTTACTTTCTCATTATGTTTACATTTTTAAGGAGATACACTGTCCCCTACCTTTCAAGGAGACATCCCTTTAAAGAGGTAATTATTCACGAGGCGGACTCTCTGGTTTAACTGAAAGCTCTGTAACTAATTCATTACTAAATGTCTGCTGTTGTATAATTCATTTCAAAATTAAATAACTTTATTGATACTAAAGGGAAATTAACTCAGTTTTAATTCTCAACAAGTTGTAGATGTTGATAGCTGTAGGCAGAAAGGGTCCTCTGTAGCACCATCTTCCACTGGCTCTGGAGAGGCCTTTGATTGAAGCAGTGTTGGTGTTTAAGGGTCTTCTGAAGAGGATGCTCACGGTTGTCCATAATATTCTCCATTTAATGAAGAATTCTTCTTTATGAAATCATCTACAGAGGATCTAGAGGAGTTCCTAGAACAGTCAGCCAAGCTTGTTGAGCTTCTTTCATTAATTTGGTCTGAGGCCCAGCAGATGATGGAGGAGGAGATCACTCTCCATAGCAGACTCATAGGAGATATGTACCATCTTGGTAAAAAGTACCTACATGTCCTTTCAAAGTACAGTCTGCTGTGTCCCTTCTTACAGGTGGCTTCATAGTTGCATCTCCAGTTTACTTTGCTGTCCAGGTGAAGTTAGGATTCAACTTGTTCCCATTTCTTCTGAATTTTACAATCATCTTTTGTTTATATTCAGGAGGAGATGATTGTTTCTACATAACTCACCAGCTCTCTATACTCCGCTTCTTCTCCCTCTCTTTCAAACCTTCTGTTCAACACACAGGAAACATGCTTTACTTGTCAGCAGTCATCTGATGATTATTTCTATAATCAATAAAATTACTAAATTACCAAGAAAAAAAATAATGCAATGTTTTAGGTGCATACATACGGATAATTTTTTGTACAATGACTGAACAGGGCTGCTTCATACGTGATCATTTATCATTACATCGGGAAAACTTACCAATACAGAAGTATGAAACAAGATGCCACAGCCGTTAAAAAAATAATTTATCCTCAAGCTGTAATAGTCAGCCCAGACTTAAAACAAATGAAACAACAGAAAGTTTAAATGGAGAAACAGTACAATGGTGATAGATTTAATGCAATGAGAAAAATAACAAAACAACAAAAATAAATCTGTTGGAAGATAATCTATGGCACAGAAATCAAATTTGGCAAACTGAAGTCCCGCTTTTCCTCCATGTTCAGACGTCCTGTAGTTTGGTGGATCAATAAGGCAAATAGGGTCTACCTCCAACATTTTCAAAGAAAAGTCAGGAAACAGGAGGGGAGGAATCAAAGTATTTATGGTGATATTGTTGGGTTTTAGTTACTCGATCCTTTAAAGACTGGTGAGTGCTGGAAATACTCGGTGGTATTAAAAAAGGAAGCAGTCTTTGTTGGCTCGAGTGAAAAATCTGAATTACAGCCACTTTCAATTCAGTGTAACGTGGGAGAGGATTAGAAAACCTGCTGTAGTTCAACCGGGTAGAAAAAGTCCGGGTTATACCATCGTGTTGCTCTCGCTTGCTCTGTCCACATACTGAAAATAAAGAGAAAAAAAGGAACATTAGTGAGTGTAGAAGACAAAGTGGGAGAAAAACAGGCAGCATATCTGAAAAACTCCAGTATGTATGTAGGCATGGAGGAAGGACTATCAAAGGGAAACCAAAGTTTGAGTTTTATGGTTAAACAACTGAGAAACTCCTCCTAATGACATGATGAAGGAAACCAGACTGACTGAAGCTTTCCTCAGCTGGAGACACAGTCATCTAATGCTCTGCAGCCTTTTGCTGTGCTACTGGTCAGCTGTCTGAAGGAAGCTTGACTGTTTGGAAATATGTTCGATCACGAACACAAAGTCAGGTGAGGGTTAGGTCAGGTTACATGAATTCCTTATTGGGGTGAAACAGGCTGCTTGATACATGAGCTGGTAGCTTGAATAATGATCTAAAGACCTATCAACTGCTTGAGTTGCTCTAGACAACGACTGAAAGAAAGAAATCTGCACAAGAAGCATGTTGATGATAAAATCAACATGCTTCTGGTGAAGGCTGCGTCACGCTGATGAGTTGGAGTGAAAACGGAGCATTGATTAAATGAGTCAGAATGTAGGATGTCTGCAGGGTTAGCTGGTTGCTACAGGATGCAACTCACCATCACTGTGCAAGTAGATCACACATCAGCTAGAAAAGAGCTTGTTAGTACCAGAATAAACCAGAATAAACCTCAATACCATTGATTTGGTGATGTATCATTATTTTTCAGGTACCCGATATAAAACCGTTTTCTCTGTTCCTAATATTGATTTTTTTTTTTAACTACAAATTTGTACCTAAAGCTAACTACCTAAAATTTAAAATCCTCCTCCGCACATATAAAGCCTTAAATGGCCAAGCTCCATCTGATATCAGAGATCTGATTGTTCCTTATGTTCCTAACAGAGCACTTCGCTCTCAATCTGCAGGTTTACTAGTGGTTCCTAGAATTTCTAATAGTAGAATGGGAGGCAGATCTTTTAGTTATCAGGCTCCTCTCCTGTGGAACCAACTACCAGTTTTAGTCCGTGAGGCAGACACCCTGTCTACTTTTAAGGCTAGGCTTAAAACTTTCCTTTTTGATAAAGCTTCTAGTTAGAGTGGCTCAGGTTATCCTGAGCTATCTCTATAGTTATGCTGCTATAGGCTTAGACTGCTGGAGGACATAGGGACGCCCTTTTTTTTTTTTATTAGAAAAATTCAATTAAAAAAAATAGGTGCAACTGTATACAGCGAACAAAAAGGATAATCAAACATTGTCATTCGTTTACAGAAAACACTCATTACAAACCCATTTCAACAAAAATAAATTCCCTCTTAATTATTTACAGTGGAAAAATTTACGTTTATACACTCTGATCATTCAAATTGTCCAGTCTTGAAAATATTTGCATTTACTGATCAGTCCAAATATGTCCTGAGAAAGTTGATTGTCGATGCTTTTGAGTGTTTTGCTGTGGTTCTCAAAAAAGAACAGTTTCCAGCAGTCCAGTGACTTGTTTTCAAAAAGTTTATAGTTTCTGCAAATGTATATCGAGTGTCTTGCGAGGGAAAGAATCATATTGCTTATGATGTGCAGATGAAAAGAATGTTGTATTTTTCATTTTTTTTCATCATCATCTTCATCATCATTCTGCTTCATTCTATCTCTATTCTCCCACTCTGCACAATCTGTTAGTTCAATCTCTGACGTTCTGAATTGGACTGAATTCTGTTGGGTGATTATCATTTCAGTCATTTGCTCAGATGGTGATTATTATTAGGTTATCAAATAACATTTTTTATTATTGGCCACCACCTACCTACAGCGTACAATGCAAATTGTAACTTATGACCAGGTAAATTAGGCTTCATAAAACTGAACTCAAGTTAAATGTAAGTTTAGTTAAAGTCGTAGGGAAGTGGCTGTTCCAACTGTTGCATTTCTGAATTCTCCTGAGTGGTGCCCAACTTTACACGAGTGAATAAATGAATCTGATTGGTCGTTTATCAAGGAGGCGGGATAATTGTGGCGGAAGGATGGCAAGCAAGTTTGGTTGTGGCCGGTTTGTCGGTAGTATGTTGCTAACCAGTTAGCTTTTAAGGAAAAAAGTGATGAGATGTGTTTCTGGATATTTCCCGTAGTGAACGTGGTTACATGCATGAGCACCATTTCTCTCAGGTGCAGAAACTATAAATCTCAGCAAACTTTTGAGTTTTCCCCATAAATGTCTTTATGTTTAAAATATCTTAGTTTAGTTTAAATGACATTTTTTTTGGTCTTTAGTCATAAAACTTCCGAGTTTTGCTCATTTGCAGAGAATTAGAAAATCATCAAGTTTATTTTTTGAAGGTGTGTGAATTTAATATTGGGTCAAAGTTTGGTCCATTTTGTGAAGCATTAAACTGCATGCAAAAATCACTCAAAATAAAGTTAGACTGAGGAGTCGATGCTGGACTTCAGTCTAAGTAGGAATCCTGCTGCTTTTTTTGCAGTCGTTCATGTTGCTATTTGTTCACAATCTGTTCTCTACACCGGAGGTCTTTAACAGGGGGACCGCGACCCCTAGGGGGTCCATGGAGGTACAGGTTACTTTCATGACATGACTCCATCTGTAATAAAGCAGCTATAGGACCAGTTTGATATAACACAATTTCACCCTGTATATAATAAGTGGGTCCCCGCTCCAGTTTGGGGGTCCTTGGCCTGGAAAACATTGAAGACCCCTGCTCTAAACCTTCCTAAAACAGCTTAGCCTATAAAGAGACTAATTTACAGATACTGTTAACTAATTGGCCTCTGAAGGCGAGTGAGTGAATTAATTTATACTTTCTGAATCGATTTATTTCAGATTATTCACCAGAAACAAAACTTCTGAAAAACATCCTTGATTTTAGCTTTGCAGTTATTCAATACTTTGTGTTAGTTAAAGGTACAACATGGGATAATGCTCTATGTAATATAGAGAAATGATCTTCCAAAGGAAAATAAGTACCGGTACCCCTATAAAGCCCATTATTCCATTCTTAAACGAGGAACAGATCTGTTTTGTTTACTTAAAGTCTTTTTGGCAGTTTATTTTATTCAGCTAATCCAATGAAGTGAAAATTGTCCTTATTTGAAGAAAACTTTTATTGACTTTTTGTTGACTTTTTCAGTGTAAACCATCCAACTTTTACTGGAGTTAAACTCCATACAGTTTTTGACCAGTAAGTCAAACCAACACACATTGTTTTTTCCTACTTTCTGTAGCAGCTCTCAGGCAAACCTCCCTAAATAACAGGCTGGTAGATATAAAACAGCTCAGTGATGCAAAAGAGGAGCCGAGTGAAGGAGGTTGTGTCAGTTAGATCCTATAAGAGCTGCTCGCCACAAACAATCTATTTGCAGTTACTGGAGATCCACATTTCCATACCAGAGTTTGTCCTCATGCAGAAGAAAGCTTTTGATCGAGGACACAGGCTCACAGAGAGCAGCAATGAAGAAGGAACGTTAAAACGGTCAATTCTTCTAAACAGTTACTTCTTGAAAATATGAACTAATTCATTCTTAATTCATTTAAACGCTAGAGTTCAGTATTTTCGGTTTCTTTTAGTGTCCATGATGTTCTGAGAGTCTCTGAAATGGAAGCAGAGCTTTACTGCCACCCAGAGGCCGTTATGGGAGCAGGCAGTCCGACAGCAGAGGCTGGGGGCCGGATGTTACCCAACGAGGAGCCCCACCGAGTGCTAAGAATAGCCAGTCCCTCTGCAACGTCAGCATCAAGCATGTCCCCGACTCTGCTCCCCCCTAACTGATTCCTCACATTACTTCACCAAATCACCTGGACAAGAGAAACACAATTTGGTTTGATTCAATTTAAAGCAAGGTCCTAAAAAAGAAGAACTCCAAGTACTTCAACATGTCCACTTTACTACAAACTCGTTTTACTGAGATATTATGAATTAGACTAAAAGAAAAGCATCATTGTAAAGTGGAAGTCCATTATAGTCTGTTGTTTTTACAAATAATATATATATATTTATATGTGTGTGTGATTTTTTTTTTATCTTAAATAGGAGGCTGAGTTTTACATTTTTTAAATTCTGGATGGATTCTAACATTAATTCCTAAAGTCTGAATAATATAACCAAAGTGAAAAATATAATTTTCCACTTCATCATTAACGACCATTACTTTATTCATTTGCTAATATTAACATGTTGGATCATAACTACATAGTCATGTAATTCAGGCAGAAATGGTTTTATAACCAGAAAATCAATTCAGTTTGGAAAAGAATCTAATGTAAATACTGAGAATTAGAATTGAATCGATTCTAAACCCCGGCTTTCCTTTAACTCAGTGTTTTCCAACCTTTTCTCACTTGTGTTCTCTCACCATGACATCCTCTCTCAGTCATATAGTAACGTATAGTAACGCACTTTAACTAACTTTAAGAAAAAAACTTACGTTTTGGTTGATAAAATTTTTTTCATTTTTTCCACTGGTCCTCATGAAGTAGAACAGATCTCAAACCTATTTTATTTTACTACCTAAAAATAAAATATTTTCACGTACCCATGCAATGCACTCACAGACCACTAGGGGTACGTTTACCCCCAGTTGGGAATCTCTGCTTTAATTTACCGACTGAGCTGACGACCAATGAGAAACAGCATCTAAGGATACAGTGAATCTGGATTTCAAAGAAAGAGGCTGAGGCTGCAGGATGGAGCGGAAACTTCCAGAGCGGCTCAAAGTCTCTTCCTATTTAGAAAATATCTGGAACTGAGTTTAATGCTTCCTTTTTATGTTGTTTTCATGTGTTATAGCTTTATTTGACCTGGTTTCATTTCATGAGCCTTGCACACAAATTCTGGAGTGAATATCACATCAATAGTCACATTTAATAAACTGATTTTACTTGTTTAAGATTTTGCTAAAGAAATAAAACCCCTCCTGTAGGGGAAACGATAAAAACAGAGTTGGTTTATGGACATGCAAGTTTAAAATAAAAGCACATAAAACATCTAAGTACGTCATGCTATTTTTTCGTGACATCAGAGGGTACAGTGATTCTTAAGGAGATGTTGTGGGGATTAAACATGCAGGAAAAAAATCACAGTGACTGACCACAGCTGCTGATTATCCTCAGACATTTAGGCAGGCTTTAAAAACAGACAGAGAGATTCAACTTCAAGCATTAGTGTCTAAACAACAGCAGAAAAGAGCAGATGATAAAAATAAAGATAAAATGTTGTTAGGAGACATGAGATTCCAACAGCATAAAAACTTGAATCCAAGGTTAAAAAACATTCATTTATGCTGAGTTAGTTATTTATGATAGACTGAAGCAGATTAGCAATCTGTTTATGGAGCGATAGAGTTCATTCCTTCCAGCTATCATCGCTATGCAGGGGAACATTTTAAACTGAGAAAGCTTTCTGATGGGAAGTAAAACGTCTTTAAACTTGGAAACTAAGTCTAGTGGATTGTTGTTAAAGAAAAAGTCGCCCATATTCAGAATTCAAACTTCTGAAAGTCCTTTAAATATAAAATGATTCCATCCTGTTCAATAAATGATCAGTGTTTTTAATTCAGAGTCATTTTCATGTGAATGTGCTTTACTGGAGGCATCCATGTTTGTCAAAGAACACTACTGCCACCTACTGGTTAGTGACATTGTCACGGTGCGGTATCGGCTGTTGATCAAGTCCCAGTGCTGTATCTGGTGTTTGTCACAACGCGCTGTTATCCAAGTCATCTTGAAAACATTCTTCTTCCAAATGTTGGCTACATATTACGGGTTTTTCCTCTGGCCAGAAGTTCGATGGCAAATCTTCCCTCTTCAAGTTGGCGATCCAACGACCAACCCGTCCGTGGAGGATCAGGAATCAGAAAGGTGGAAAAACTCTTTTTTTCACTTTTACCCGATGTATTCCAGCATCCAGCTGCCATGCACGTGGGCATTGTCAGTTTCACTATAGCTCTGGTGAATTTCAATGGTG